TGCTTATGTGGTGCTGAGGAATCGAACCCAGGGCCTCAGGCATGCAAGGCAAGCGCTCTACCACTGAGCCACCTTCCCAGCCCCTATTTATTTATTTTTTAATAGAAAGGCTCTCTGACAACACCTCTGTCTGGAAATGTTGGGATGCTTGTTGTCAGCTAACTAGTTGCTTCCCAAAGAAAGTATAACAAGATGGTAGTCTTAAGTGTATGTTTGTAGCATCTTTTTAACAGCAGGTCAGTGTGTGAGAGCTATGATGTATCTCTGTCTCTTTTTTTTGGTTCTGGGCCTGGGAGCTGTTCCTAATCTTTATTTTGTTTTTGTTTTTTTTTGCTCAAGGCTAGTACTCTAACACTTGAGACACAGCTCCACTTCCAGCTTTTGGTGGTTAAGTGGAGATAAAAGTCTCACAGACGCAGGGCGCTGGTGGCTCACGCCTGTAATTCTAGCTACTCAGGAGGCTGAGATCTGAGGATTGAGGTTCAAAGCCAGCCCGGGCAGAAAGACCGTGAGACTCCTATCTCCAATAAACCACCAGAAAACTGGAAGTGGCGCTGTACTTAAGTGGTAGAGTGCTCGCCTTGAGCTGAAGAGCTGAGGGACAGCGCCCAGGCCCAGAGTTCAAGCCCCACGACCAAAAAAAAAAAGTCTCACAGACTTTACTGCCCCGGCTGGCTTCAAACCACAGTCCTCAGCATTCATCTTCCTGAGTAGGCATGGGCCAACTGGCACCCAGCTGATGTACTTTTTAAGTCTGATTTTGGAATCTGTTACTAATCTGTGATTTTTGGAACATAACTATTTGCAAAACAACAACAACAACAAAAATCCTCTGCTCATTGAGCAGAGTTATGACTTAGCATCAGCCATTGGTCTCAGTAGTCCTGAAATTAAATAGCAGTGATTGTCATCAGTTTATCATAGTCATTTTATTAAGAATGAGGTACTATTAAGCATTCATTGCTGTTTCCTAGAGGTCTCGGTTGGCTCACTGGTATCTTCCTAATGTGTTCTTACCTCTTATAGCCATAGCAGAACATGCAGTGTCAACTAATGGTAACAGAAAAGTGGTTGCATCTTTACTATAAAAGCATTCCGGCTCATGGGATCCAATCATTAATCCCTTGGGAATAGTGAGCTCTTGTCGCGTGAATCCCAAATTCAAATGGATCTCTCAGATCCACAAGGAAGCCTCCGAAGAGACTGCTGCTCTTCTGAAACATGAAGTAATTCCCAAGGTACTGCTTCTATAATAAACACAGGTGACCAAAACCAAAACTACTGCTCTTAGAAATTTGTAGTACTTTATAAAATATGCGTGGCGAAAGACTGCAGAGATGCACTATGACAGTGACAGTCTGTGCACTGCTGTTTCATGGTGTTAAAATTAACCTGAAAAAAGACAAAGCTTTGAAGTGGGTATAAGCTACAGAGGTCACGATATGTAATGTTACTTTCTTTTTTTTTTTTTTTGGGTCCGGTTGTGGGGCCTGAACTCTGGGCCTGGGCGCTGTCCCTCAACTCTTCAGCTCTAGGAGAGCATTCTACCACATGAGCCACAGCACCACTTCCAGTTTTCTGGTGGTTAATTGGAGATGAATCTCACAGAGTTTGCTGCCAGGGCTAGCTTTGAACCGCGATCCTCAAATCTCAGTCTCCTGAGTAGCTACAATTGTAGGCGTGAGCCACCAGCACCCGACTTTCACATCCCTTTTTCCTGATAGTACATGATGCTTGAGACTTGTCATTGATTTTCTCTGCCTGGCTTGAGAATTGACTTATTTCTCCAAGGAGCCCTCTTCCCTTTTATTAAACACTGGCATTTGCAAATTAAGTTCTAGGTGCTGTGTTTGTTTCTTACTGCTAGAGTATCATTGCTTTAAGATCCTCTTACAGGACCTAGAGTTAGCCATGTATCCATGTGTGTACCTTTGTGCATGTGCATAATCTAGTGGTTGTTCTGTCTGTCCATCTGTATATAAAGCTAAACATAACTTCAAATTAAGTGTACTACCAATTTATCATTTCCCTTTTTTGGAGCTGGGCTCGAACCCAGGGTCTTACATGTGCTAAAGACATGCTCTACCACTGATCTATTCTCCCATCCTCAAATAACCTTTCAATCTGTGATCTTGAAAAACACATTTACCAACTAAAATTTAGAGATGAAATATGTAAAGACAATTGGGTGAACTGAAAGTCTCCAAGACCTTGGGCTTTTTTATTATCCCATTCTATGGACATTGGCAGTTCTGCTGAGAACAGTCTCTTAAAAGCTTTGGGTCTAATGGAAGAAGAGTCTGTTACCCCAATCCTCCAAACACAATGGATGAAGGAGATAGTAACGCTAAGACCAATGAAAAACACAGGTTCAAGCAGTTAATAGTGGGATAACAGGGAAAAGCTCCAACAGCTTGGACAATCCTTCACCCCACCTAGTCTCCCAGACCCTTTTGTTTTTGTATTGTGTTTCTGAGGTAGGATCTCTGACTTTCCTTAGGTTGGGCTTAAATTCACTCTATGCCCCTTATCTACCTCCTGATAGCTAGGATTACAAGGTGAGCACCACCACTGTGCCTAGCTAAGGAAGTGCTCTACTTTAGTAAGTTTTAGAATAGTGTCTCATTTATGTCCAAGCCTGCAGAGATGACAAACACATGCAACCGTACCGAACTTTTACTGATTGAGACAGAGGAATCTCAAAAAGGTTTTGCCCTGTTTAGCCTCTGAACTTGATCTGTCCAATCTCAGCCTAAGCTAGGATTACAGATGTGAGACACTATGCCTGGCTGGCATGGTTTTGTTGTAGTAAATTTTTTTTCATGCTGAAGTCGCTACCATCATCTCACATCTACCCAGGTTCTTAAAGGTCTTGTTTTTTAAAATAGTATGTTGAGGAAGTGGCGCTGTGGCTCAAGTGGTAGAGCACTGGCCTTGAGCTGAAGAGCTGAGGGACATCGCCCAGCCCAGAGTTCAAGTCCCACAACCAACAAAAAAATAAATAAACTTATGGGGTATTTGAGATTAGAACTAATTGATAATGACATTATTTGTGGAATACTTCAAAAACAGTATTATAAAAAAATAGTACATTGGAGAATTTCAGTTTAGTAATAGATTTTAGTTTAGGCTGCTTTTAATACACTTAGGTTTTTCTTTTATTATTTGTAGTGATTTGAAAGGAGAGCAGCTTGTGCTTGTTTGAGAAAGATTTAACCCAGCACATATTGATGTGATTATCAAAAATGGGTACTAATTGGTATAATTCCATCTGGACTTGTGGCCAATGTTGTGATAAGGTTTAATCTGATTCTTAATCTTAAGGGTGCCATTCTGCATAGCCACTTTTCCTTGCCTTTGGGACTTCTCCAAATATTCTGGAATATGAATAAATTGGTGTTGTATTCCTGTTTTTGAATCCAGCTACTAGAAACTGTATAGTTAATTAGATTTGCCATTTCAAAGTGAAGTAACAGTGCTAGCTGGCCACTAGTGAAGTCCCAATGTAATTGAATGTGTGCATAGCTTCCTGCCTGATTGAACTTCCCCGTGACACAGGTGTTCTGCATCTTTAAAGTCTCTTGTTACCAGGGAGCAGCTTTGACTCTTCACACCGGGTGCACATTTGGTACAAGCAGTGAATGAATGTGATGCATGAATAAATATTTGTGTCCAGCCCACACATCTGCTTCTTTCGGTCTCTAGTGAGTTCATCCTGGGTTTTTTTGTTTTGTTTTGTTTTGTTTTCCAGCTGCTGTGACTTACTCCAAACCTCGATTGGCCACATTTTGGCACTACGCCAGGATTGAGCTGGTTCCTCCGACCCCTGCTGAGATCCCCACAGCTATTCAGAGCCTGAAAAAAATAATCCATAGTGCTCAGACTGGTAGCTTCAAACAGCTCACAGTTAAGGTAACTATGGGCTAAATGAAAACGTATGTGCATAATGGAAAATGTCTTCCCTTGGGACTTTTCTGATTATTTTGATTAATATACAAGTAAGGCAGAATCCAGCATAATCAGAGATAATCTCTATTTTAACTACCAAGGAAGATACTTACTCATTTTGTCATCTGGGTGGAAATAATTCAGCTGTTTTAGGTCTTAGGTCTGTTCCTTGTTTTTATTTTCTTATGGATCTGGAAATGAAACCCAGTGTTTTCCATATGCTAAGCAAGGCTTTGTCCTTGTACCCTTCCTCATGTCTTAGCTTTCACGTAGTCACATCCTATATCAAAAAAAAAAAAAAAAAAGATGGGGCTGGGAAGGTGGCTCAGTGGTAGAGTGCTTGCCTTGCATGCATGAGGCCCTGGGTTTGATTCCTCAGTACCACATACACTGAAAAAGCTAGAACTGGGTGCTATGGCTCAAGTGATAGAGTGCTAGCCTTGAGCTGAAGAGCTCAGAACAGTGCCCAGGCCCAGAGTTCAAGCTCCACAACAAGCAAAAAAAAAAAAAGATTTCTTGGTACTGGGTTTTGAACTCAACGCTTCACTTACTACTCAGGTGCTCTACCACTTAAGACACATGCACACACACACAGGTGAGTATTTTGAGTAACTGGTAGGTCTTGCTCAGCAGAAAAATGCTTGCTTAGCAAACAGGAAGTCCTGAGTTCAAACCCCAATAACACCAAAAAAAAAAAAGAAAGATAGTGGTGTAGTTGAATTCTTTTCCTTCCTAATTTTGGCTAGTGCACTGAAATATGATGGCTTACTTTGATTTTATACTCTATATTCCACTTCCCTCCTTCTGACCCCCATTTTTGGTACTGGAATTAACCTCATTTCATCCAAAGATCTCGTGAACTATGATGGTCAGACAGCTAGCACTATAAAATTAACAAATCTAGGTTATGAAATTACCTGAAGACTGAAGACTATAGAACTAGAACTTGAGTTTTATGTTTCTTGATCCAACCACAGGGTACAAAAAGTTCAAAATGCTAATAATTTGTGACTTTGCAACCACCTACCCAATGTGTTTTTTTTTTTCAGTTAACTTCTTTATATTTTTTGGGTTGGTCCTGGGGCTTGAACTCTGGGCCTGAGTGCTGTCCCTCAGCTCTTTAGCTCAAGGTGAGCACTCTACCACTTGAGCTACAGCGCCACTTCCAGTTTTCTGGTGTTTTATCGGAGATAAGAGTCACGGACTTTCCTGCCTGGGCTGGCTTTGAACCAAGATCCTCAGATCTCAGCCTCCTGAGTAGCTAGGATTACAGGCATGAGCCACCGGCACCGGGCTTCCAGTTAACTTTTGATTTGTGAAAATAAGTACTTGGAAATAGAAGCAAAATAGTAAGTAAATAAAAATGAAATATAAAGAGTCCTTCATCTTTCAGTGGGTATTCTTTGGCCAGAAATGTCTTTTCTATAGCCATCCTTATGTATGAATGCCCTGCCCAAATGCCCAGCTACTTCCAGGATGTGGGTTGTTTTAGGGCCTATAAAGTGTCTCATAAACAAATAATGAAAGGGTTAAGTCAGTTCAGGTCTTTAAAGAATCCTTTGAAAGAATTATAAGCTGTAGACTACTTACCCAACAAAATTGAAAGTTTAAGGGTTCTCAGAAGCTGAACAAAGTTGACCTCAATAAGTCTTAGCTGTAAGATTGCCCAGAGCTTGAATAGCATCCTCATATTCTCTGTCACTTAAACCTGGGAAAGAATGATAGATAGATAGATAGATTGATTGATTGATTGATTGATTGATTGATTGATTGATTGATTGATTGATTTTTTTTTGTTACCTTAAAATTTGTACTTTTTTTTTCCAGGAAGCTATGCTGAATGGTTTGGTGGCCACTGAGGTGTGGATGTGGTTTTATATCGGAGAAATCATAGGCAAGCGTAGCATCGTTGGCTATGATGTTTGAAGACCAATCTTAACATCTGATTCTTTTTGATTTATTACTTGAGTGTTCTTGGACATACGTTCAGAGTATTATCTGAATAAAATGAGTCAAATATCAGTGTTTCTTTGTCAAATAATACAAAGACAGTCACATTTTTTCTTGTTATTAAGTTGGGTTGTCTTTGGCTTTAATACATTTATACAGTTCTACATACATGTCTGTCAGCTTGAAATTAGAAAGGATAGATGTGAATATACAAACCTGATACATGAATATATGAAGATAAGGTAAAATATATATTTAAGCTTTACTTCCAGAAAATTCGAGAGAAAGGCCTTGAATTTAGTCCTGCAGGAGAATTAGTTAGCGTGTACCAGAATAACAAGTTAAATCCTGTTATTAAAAACCAGATGTAGTGGCTTATACTATAATCCCAACCACTAAGAAAAATGGGCTAAAGGATCACTGGAGCCTCATAGTTCCAAGCCAGCCTGGACAACATGAAATTTTGATCCCAAAAAATAAGAGGAAAAGGTCAGATTATTTTTTTTTTTTTTTTTT